TAGTGCTCCACTCCATAAATGAACCTTGAAACAACATTTAATTTAGTGTTCTTCCCTTGGCAGTGCTAGTACACATTGGAAAACATTTTTCACTTCTATATAGTGCTCCTATGTCATAATATGTAACTTGATATGCTGAATGAAACTTATTTTCCTTGAGCCAAATACTCTTCTTTGTGCAATTTCCACCCTAGGGCATGGCATCTTTGTGTGTGAATTCACAACCCTTGGAGGTTTTCCAAGGAAGGAAGAAAATCACTATGATAAAGGACTGTTTCTAGAGGTTGACTTCAGTTATCCATGCTCCACTTACAAAGTGTTAGCACCAACCACAATTAGATCTTCATTAAAACTTGTTAATTTCCTCTTTACAATCATAAGGTTAACAAATCTTGCCAGGTTAACAATGCTCTTACTAAGTATTTCAAATTCAAGTTTGTTGTTTGTCTGGATTGTCGCTAGGAATCAACTTAAACTATGCATAGCTTATTTAAGCATGACTTAGTTGAATGATCGATGAGTTTCATTAATTTCTGCATCACATTATACTTATGCATTCGTGTATCATGTTTAGCATCAGACCAAGCTGATACTTGTTTGTGTTGCATTTGCATATCATTTTGAGGCCATACCATTGTATGCATCATTCTAAAACTTTCTGTTTCTACATCTTTTGCCTTCACTTCTCACTCTTTATATTTTTGTTATATCTTTCTTGTTTTACATCTAATGTCTAAGTTCAAATAGTCAAATTCAATCATCTAGACCTTGAAAATTAGTAAAGCCTAGAAGTAGTTGTAAAATCATGTTTTGAACTATAGGAGCATGGTGCATTATTTACCACGATCGCATATTATAGTGGGATTCTTATCAATGTAAATCTTATTCAAAGTCATACAAGAGTGTCCCAAGTTCTTATTATAATTCAAGATCCATGAGTAAATTTTCCTGACCTAGGTCTCAAGAGTAATTTCCAAAAAGTTTACTATAATTCAAAATTCATGTTTGAGTCTTCTCTTCTTTCTCATGTTGATACTCCTTTTCCTGTCTACATTTGCAAGATATTTGTACAAATAAACTTTTGGAACCATCTCATATTAGGGGCTCTCTAGAATTTGTGCATCTACCTTTGAGTATATCTTTGAGTATAGATTATGAATTTGGAGTTCCTAGAATTACTATAAGAAATAAATCAATCTTCATCCTAATAATGCTGACTCCCAAAATGATAAATGACATTTCAATTCATGGAACTTTGGACCTTCCACACATTACAATTCATTTTTTCAAAAATTTTAAAATTTTGACTTCAACGTGGATAACTTTGCACGTTTATACATGGGCGGATCCCAATAGAAGTGAGGGGGGGCAAATGCCCACCCTCAAAAAAAAATTTTAAAAATTTTAGAGGGTATTTTTTGAAATATTTTGGGTATTTTGCCCCCTCTCAAAAAATTTTTTTGCCCTAATTTTATCAATCCTAATCATTTTTGCCCATACCCTACCAAAAAAATTTTTTTTGCCCACCCTAAAAATAGAAGCTGGATCCGCCCCTGCGTTTATATAGATCAAATGCATTTACTAATGCTTTTGCTCAAAATATAATTTAAGCTATGAAATTCAAAAGAAATTTGCATTGAAATTCATTAAGTAAAAACTAATAGGCGTGCACATAGGTAGTACATTGAATTTAATGAAAATGATTTGGTTCTTGTTAAAATTAGGCTTTTGAGACATTCAACTAAAATTCTTAAAAGGTTAAGCTAAAAAAAATGAACTTAATAATAATTGTGAGGAAGAAAATTAATAATGCTTATGAAATAAATCTTACTATGGATCGTAGGATTCCCCCAATGTTTGAGTAAGATTTAATACTATATCATGGGGAAGGCACAAAACATTTTTGTTCAATTTGCGAATAGCAGTGATATATAATTTGCTACTCTAAATGTACTTACCCCAAGCATTTAGCTGTAACTTGGAGATTGATACTAATTCTCCTATTTCACTACCATCGCCACTCATGATTCATCAATTGAGATTTCATTTGAGATGAAAGCCCATTAATTCTTTACCCAATATAACATGCTCATGCCTCCCGAGGATCCTGGATAACTGAGAGTTCTATAAAAGCCTTGTCCTCATCTACTTGTATTTTTCAGCTTCATTCCATAACGTCGAATTCTTTTAAGATGTTAAGTTTGATGCATGAACATCATTGGAGATAATTTTATGTAAATAAAAAGCCTGAATTATATACAACTGAGGACTTCTAAGATATACTATTTTTTATTTCTTATTTATTTTCACTTTGGAAATCTTGGTGGGTCATGGGCCGTGTCATCTTTTTTGACCTAGTTCATTGCATCACTATTTGATTCTTGAGCAGTATTGTAATTCAAGCTATGTGTGGGTTAATATCTTGAATCATGAATGTCGTATATGTCGTGATGGTTAACCAAATCTTTTGGCCACTTAAATATTTGACCTTCAAATCATCATTGATCATCATATCACCTTGACACCACTCTCTCCCTCCCCCCAAAAAAAATGCACGCACATGGTGCCTCTTGGGTTCACTCATCACTTCTATTTATAGTGGTTTTGTGTCATGATATATACCTTGATGTTGCTTGATGAATGTTGAATGGAACTTATTTTCCTTGAGTGAAATATCTTTATCGTATGCTTTCAATCCCAAGAGAACCTCTTGAGTGTGTGAATTCACGACCCATAGTGGACTTCTAGGAGATGAAGAAGATCTATGATAGACTGTTTGTCAAGATCAATTTCAGTTATTACTCCCTCGACCTACATAAGTGTTAGCTCCCTAATAGTTAGATCCTTGTCCACCTATTATTTTCTGCTTTGAAATCATAAGGTTAAAAGTCTTGCTAGGTTAACACTACTCTTACTAATTATTTTAAATTCAACTTCAATGTTGTCCAAATTCGCACAAGAAATCAACCTGATTCATACTTTTCATAAGTTGTTGAAGTTTAACTTAGTTAAACCATCGATGACTTCTATTTTAATTTACTACAAAAGAATTTTATTTCTCTTTTTCATTGCATTATAGTTTTGTATTCATCTTGCATAACTACATTATAGACCTTTTTGAAGAAATAGGACTTCCTTGGGTGCAAACTTGCCGACTCTCCAATAAAAACCTTGCAATTATAAGAAGAAAAAAAGCTAGGAAGATGATTACTACTATCAACATCTTGTAAGCAAATTGACCTAACTGTCACTAGATATAAAAGATTATTTATTGTTGGTGTGGCTAGTCAATATATGCAAAGTCTAAAGAAAAAATATTTGAATGTTGTCCTGAGAATTTCAAGATATATAAAGAAATCTCCAAGAAAAAAGTCTAAACTATCAAAAACAAAATTATTTGAGGATTAAAGCTTTTTTACGATGCCTGCTACATTTTGAATTAATTGAGGTCAAAAATCTATTTCAGGATACTATCTTTTTATAAGTGGAAATCTCGTGTCATAGGGAAATAAGAAGAAAAATGTTGTAGTGAAATCTATTTTTTTTAACTTGAATAAAGTGTCATGACTCATTCTAGTTGTGAAATAATGTGGATTAAAACTTTAATAGAAGAAATTAGTTTCTCTGTTATACAGCCTATGTCCTTAGTTGTCATAACCAGGTTGTTATCTATATTACAAGCAATTTTATCTTCCATAAAGAAACTAATTATATTGAAGTGAATTGTCACTTCAATATACGTACATTCTTGTCAAATAAGATCACCATTTCACACATTTCAAGTAAATAAAAATTAGTAGACATCTTTACCAAAACTTAGAGGTCCCTTTATTTTTCTATTTCTTTAACAAAATAAAACTGATTGATATATACACTTTTCAAGGGGAGTATTATAAAAAAAAAAAACTAGAATAAAAATTGTTATTACATAAAAGTGCTAGATTAAAAAGATACATTTAAATTACTATTTTGTATCCTCATAATTTAGAAAATTATCCTTTTATTGTTTTACTTTAGTACTCTTCTTGAATACTTACAAACGGACACTAGTATTCAATCAATAAGACAGAGCTTCTCCTCCAAAGCATTAGAAGTGCAACACCTAATGATGTGCGAATCTTTTTTGTGTCACGTTGTGCAAGTAGAAAGAGTGAAAAGATCAAGAAGAGAGTGAAAGGGTAGAAATGCAACAAAGACGGGTGAAGGAAGGTACAAGTTTAATGTATCTTATTCTTAGGTTTGCTTTGGATCTTTTGGATTTATATAAACTATAAAAGGCAAGGAACAATTCTTATTTTGTCTCCCCCATCTTGACTTGCATCCATTCTACACTGCAAGTTTGTTTGGAAAGATGTTGATCTCTTTCCAACTTTATTGGATTTAACTTCTTCGTTTAAAAGGATTGCAACTGAAAATTTGATGCAGTATTTCTTTTATACTCAAAATTTTGGAAAGATGTTCAAGATTTTTTGGAAAGACGCTTTCTTTAAGGTGTTAAATGATTAGAAGAATAAAAATGATTTATGATATTGAACATGTGCTTATCAATTTTTTCAATGACTTTTAGGTGTGGCTTCAAAGAAATTAGCTAAGTTTTTCCTTATTTTTGTCATCAATTTCATCAATTGGCTAAGGCATTGAACAGTTGAACATGCACATCACTTTGATTGTTCTTATTATCATGATTATTTATCTTTCGATTTACTAGTCTTTTATATTTAGATGCAATTTAAGTACTAATATTTTGTGATAGATTTAAAATAGTGTGTGCCGCATTATGCGCTATATGCTATGGCTCCATGCAAATTTTTGCACTATAGTGTGTTATTCGCCATTGAAAAGTATGCATGTCCCCTTAGACCACACATTGATAGAAGCATCATGTGTAGGGTTGAGCCTTTTCAACTGGATTTAACATACGAAAGGAAGAGAGACAAAGGAAAACATAAAATGGACTCTAATAATAATTGAAATTCAGTTAATCCAATCAATAGTTGTACCTTGAAAGTGATTCAATAAGTGTCAAGGCCGATCCTTGATAATTTTGAGGAAGATGTTCAAGCTAATGTCAAAATAAAAAGAAAAGTTATATTGCAAGGAATAAACCACAAGGAAATGGCAAGTATTTTCATCAACTACTAATTTAAAACCTTAAGATTTCCAAGTTCGCTGAGAGAGTCTGTGAAAGTACTTGTGATAGGCTTTAGCTCATCATGCTGAAGGAAAAAAATAGCTATCATTAGCAATAAAGGCTTTGACACTAATAGACAAGAACTTTTTGTTGACTTTCTGACCGGAAATGCATAAGCCATGTAATTTTCATATGCATGATAAAACCTGAAAAGGAACACAAAATAATACTTAGACACTGAAATGAAGTTTCTTTTTAAGAACAACCAATATACAATGAAAGAAAATAAAACACTAACACACTGAGACAAGTAGATAAAATTAGTATCAGATGATTAGGAGGGAGAAAGAATAGACCAAAAATAATATGGATAGAAGTTTTTCAAAATTGTTTGTGAATAATAGGTTCAAAACTTAACGCAATTGAATAGAAAATAAGGATTCATAAAGTCAACCCTAGACAGTTATGTTAAGGCCTATAATAATGATGATAACTATGATGACATGTCATCAATAGCCTTATGGAAGTAAAGTAGAAAAAATCTATGTCAAACTACCAAAGATCAACGTAGTTCTGTATTTCATAAGTTAACAGATATCAAACCACGCTGAAATTGTCAAGTGTTTGGTTATCTAATTTTGTGGCATGTGATTGTGCAAATCCACACCAAGTGGCAAATAGACAGGTCGTAAGTTAAAGAAATTCAACAACAAAATATAAAAGAACAAGATCAGCACATTCCCTAATCCCGATATAGCTGAGGAAAAAGAGATTGTAGAATAAGCAACTTACATTTGCCGGACTTTCTCCTTCATATTTCTCCTCTTAGCGTCCCCAAATCCAGCGGCCGGCTGGGAGAATGTAGAGTTGAGCAGGAGGAGGGATACGATAAGTACCCTGGTCTTGAGAGCGAGAATAGATCTGAAACGCGCTACGGCCATCGCCGAGCTGTTGCAATTGGAGTCCGCCCCCGGGCGGAGACGCTATGAGACGGCGGTCGTCAGGAAGCAAGTGATACGACCAGCAAATACCGGAAGTGTAGCATTGGATTCGCCGCTCCGCTAGGATCGCAGATTACGGAGTACGGCCACGTCAAAAAAATTGGCAAGTATTTTTAGGTTAAAAAACTTAAATTTGCCGGAAATGTAATATAATAAATATTTATACTAATGGATGATTCAAATAAAAAATATTATACAGATATAATTTAAATTTTAATATTTACCTATTCTACTATCTTTTTAACAAAATTGCTGCAAGAAATTCATCAATATGATCCTAATGAAGAAGTCAACTACTTCGTGCAACAAAATGTAAAGAAGAAGAGGAAGTCGTAAGACTTGTGGGATCTCATTGAAGACATTAATGAATATAATGAGATGTGAAGAAGAAGAAGAGTTCATGAGGCTTAAGAATTCAAATTAATTCAACTCAATAATATGATTTACTAAATATGGAATTTGGAGCAAAAAGTTGACAAAAGTTATTTAAGCTTATATTAGTTTAGGGTGTTTGGTTGACTGAAAGCATATTGCAGTGTACTTTGGAGTTGTATGGATGAGTGCAAAATAAATATAAAATTTTATTTATTTTTGTTGACTTGAAGTAAATTGAATGTAATATAAAGTTCAAAATAGTGATGATTGGCAGTGGTCGACGGTGGTCGGGGGTGGCATGTGAAACCTTTTAAGTAAAAAAAAGCTAAACTCTTAAATATCGAGGCACCTTTTGATGTAATTATTATTGAAATTTTATTAAGAAATTCTACATTTAAGTGTGCTCATTCTGGAATAATTCTGAAATGAATGACATATTGGGAAGTTACATCAACTTGATAAAATTGTGAGGCTCTTAAGTCAAAGTTGAAAATCTCTAGTCTTGATAATTAAAAGTTTGGGTTGTTACAAATGATATCAGAGAAATACACTAGTCGAAAAGTGTTATGCTATGAGAGCCACCTCTTGAACCTTCTATGGGACAAATTGCTACATAACGGAAGCCACTACTTGAACTTGTAAAGGCCGCCTCTAGAATCTTATATGCATGATGGATGATTCTAGGATAAAGATGTTGATGATGATGTCAACTACTAAAGTGGAGGAGATTGTGAAACTGCTCAAGTAAAAGAAGCAAAACTCTCAAACATCGAGGTACCTTTTGGTGTAATGGTTGAAATTTTTTTAATAAACTCTATAGTTAAGCATGCTCATCCCGGAGCAACTTTGAGATGGGTGACCTACTCACCAACGGGATAAAATTGTGAGGCTCTTAGTCCAAAGCGGATAATATATAGTTAAAAATTTGGGATGTTACAAAGGTATGTAATAACCCAAAAAGGGGAGGTTGAACTGGACTAGTTCAACCAACTCATTAAATATATTAAAAACTCATTTCAATGCCCAACGCCACAACGCCTAAGCCCTAGCACCACTGCACTGCAAGATGATCTTAAAGTTACTATAGAACATAGCCTTCAACATCACGATTATATTTTATGGCATTGCAGTGCTCTTAGCATCGCTGCGATAATAAGCATAGTGTCGCAATGATGCATGTGGAATTATCATATTTTCAAAATAAATATCATTTTATGAAATTTAGGGTTGTTATAATAGAACTCTCCAAAGCACTTCTCTAGAAATTCTGTTATATGCTTTCTCTAAATTATAAATAAATATCATATGTAGATCCTCCTTATTCTCTCTATACTTCTCCATAGAACCTCTAAAAAAATGTATAACTTCCATAGTAGACTTACACTGTATGAATTCAAATTGATTTTGAGAAAATTAGTATCACGACATAACTTATGTTAAACAACTCTCTCCTATAGCTTTTTCACACTTAATTTTAGTTAAAGTCTCTCTAACTTCAATTATATAATACAATGATAAAAAAAAACTTTATTTTTTTATTTGTTGTGCTAAGGTCACTAAAGTCGATCGTATTCTCATAATCTTCATTGAAAATCTTATCAATATATATCATTCACATTTGTTGGATATCCACTATTAATAAAAAGCAATTTTTGATCTTCATCCTTTATGCACTTTACTAGAACTAAATTCTTACTATTATAAGTTTTTCTTTTAGATACTCTAAGCACATCCTCTATAATATTTTTAATATTGTTAATTACTTTTTTATATAACATTAGCTTCATGATATACATCCAAAATCATAAGATCTTAAATCCTACTCTTAAAAATAATTTTGATGGTATTCTTTAAATGCCACAATCTAATTATTGTAGGATAATATTTTACTTTATTTTTTTTTATATTCTGCATATTTATCTTAAAGTCTGGGTACATAAACTTTCACTCGCACTTCAGAAAAATGAGTTCTTTTCAACCAAAAAAAAATCCATCAAAAATTGAAAGATTTTCATTGAGAATTATAACTTCCGACAGATTTCTGATGGAGTTATTTTTGTAGTTAAAACACATGTAGAAAATTGGATTCCATTGAAATTTAAATCCGTCAAAAACATTTCTGACGAAAATCTGGATGAAAAAATCCAGCGGTTTAAGGTGGATTTTTTGCTAGAATTTTCAACAAAATTTCTAATGAAAAGTTATGTTAGAAATTCCAATGAAAATTCCATCAAAAACCTGTAGCTTAAAAAAAAAACTCTGAAATATAGTTTTTGTCAAACGTTAATAGAAAGTTCAACGTGTGATTTTTTAAAAATCAAAATGAGATTTATTAAGCATTGTTGTTTGAAAATAATTTGACTAAAGATCATTCAAAACTAGAAATGTGTAACATTTGAGCCTTAACTCTAGAATGTTAAACCAAATAGAGGAGTTGAGTGAACAATTATTAGGTCCGGACACCGGATGTAGCTCTACATCCGGAGACCAATAACATGGCGCCACGTGCTCTTATTCTTTACTGCGCGGCCCGACAACCCGACCCGGACCGGAACCCGGTATTGCTATGTTCGCATATTGCTCGGTATTGCTAGGTGTTGATGACAATAATGAGAAATACCGCTCTATTAAGACCAATACCTAGCAATACCTAGCAAAATTGGGGTATTGCTCGCAGCTCGGTATTGCTCGATATTGCTAGGTATTGGCCTTGACAGAATGATATTTCTCGTTATTGTCGAGCAATACCTAGCAATTCCTCGGTCTGCACAAATCAGTCAATACATGGCAATCCCGGGTCCAGTCCGAGTCGGGTCGTCGGGCCGCGCGGTAAAGAGTAAGAGCATGTGGCGCCATTTTACTGACGTCCGAACATAGAGCTAGGTTAGGACACCGGACCTAATAAAAACTCGGAGTTCAAGCCATTGTTGCCACTTTAAGTTGAAGCCACTCCTTAAGAGGCGTGAATTGGATATAAAGTGAAACTTCAGGAATTTCTTTTGAAATTCTTCGCAACTAAAAGACGTGTCCACCAAATATATAACAAAAAGGCAACAGAAACAATTAATCAAAATAAACCACTATATAGAAACAACAAGTTAAGAAGTTAAATAAAAAAGGTATAATGTTGAAGGTAAGAAATAGTGTAAGATGCGATATGTTAAAAGAGGAGTACAGAGTCATACATATAATGTTGATAACATGTTACTCAATTATAGGTACGCAATAGTGCTATCAATTTAATTAATCCTACCTATGTAAGTATACTATCAAGAGATGGTGATTAGAAAATGATTAAGCTAGTGAGAAGTTAAGTGAAAATTATATATTATTTATTGTCATAAATTTCAATATAAATTTTTATTTATAGTTGATGTTGCGTAGGAAAGACTCGGGAGATAGAAAAGAATTACATGTATTAAACTAGCGACGCAGCGCTAGAACCATCAACTTCGCAACCATCATAACTCCCCAGCGCTAGATCAGGGCATTGCAGTGCCATAGCCCCAAGAAAAATGACAATTAATTCAGCGCTCTGACGGAGCCAAGATCGGCATCTATGCGCTTCAAATTGTCACAGTGCCATAAATCAGTATCGCAATGCAAGAGTCTTCCGAATTTGAGTGCCAGAGCATTGAACTATAAAATGCAGTAGTGCCGGATGACACATTCAAGTATCATATCGCTCAATTTTGCAGTGCCGTAATAGAGTAATTTACGAAATGTGGAGCCACATCGAATCAGTCAAGTGACGTGCCGATTCAACCAATAATCGTGTCAGGTTATTCCAACGCCACAATAGAGCCTACTTAGTAGTGCCATGGTGCTAGTTCGTATTGTAACGCCATGGGGCCTAAGCCATTTTATAATAAGTATAAATAGTTTTTATATTGTGTGAGTGTGTTATAGTTTTGAATAGTTTTCAGAGAGGAGAGGTTTGAGGAGAGAAAGATACATACTTGGAGTGGTTGACTAATATTATAGTGAGCGAGCAAACATTAGGAAAGGAGTGTGGAGAGCAAAGTTGTAAGACGATATTCACTTTGGAAATGATTCACCTACCGGCTCGATTTAGGATCCTTTATTTTGAGTGATATCATTTTTACTCTTTTCTATTTGTACTATATATTTTTCTTGATCAAGTAATAAAAGTTTTGTTGATTTTTTTTTATTCTATGGTCAGCTAAACTCATAGTTTTGGACTAATGCTGTGAAAATCTAATGTAATTACTAATGTTGATTCTTGTACTTTAAAGAATTAATGGTTATTTTCAATATCTCTTTTTTTTAAAATTTAATCTATATAGTGGCTATGTATAGAGTTAAAACTTAGTGTGATATATTACCTCAATGGAAGAATATTAGAATAATTTAGAGTATTGGAATGAAACTCTTGCATGTTTGGATATAATATGTTTAGTGTTCCATATTTATAAAGATAAAATAATTGTAGTAAGGCCATAAACATTTCATTACATTCGTATAAGCTCGACAAATATTTAAAGATGCACATGCTCTGATTGACAACTAATTTAGGAGAGTCTACTTAGGAAAGCTTAGAAAATTTTATTATCATTGGTTCAAAATACTTTATCTAACAGTATCTTCAATTTTATTTTGTAATTCTCATTCTAGACAGTATACAAACCTGATTTTCATTTTGTAGGATAAATCATATAGTTAGAGTAGACCTTACTAAATCAATTGCATAGAAGCATAACACTTCCTCGTGGG